GCCCAAAAAAAAAAAAAAAAAAAAGATATTTGGGCACTTTTTTTTCAAAACCGATTTCCCGGTTCATCCCCCCTGGTCTGGTCCGGCTCCGGTTGGACCGGGGTAGCTCAACCGGCCGGTTGCCGGCCCAGCACTGGTTTCTAAGCACTTACCCTCAAGGAATGGAGAAAGCCACATTGCGCTGCCCCACGCTTCACCATCACTTTGCTGCAGCTCGTCCGACTGCAGTGGCCTGATCATGATGCATGTGTACTCCCCTGTAATATCATTCTGCACAGGAAAAATAGAAACACAAAAAAGGGACGCCCTTTTTGAATCAGCCATCACCAATCATTAGTAAAGTACGAATTGTCAGGTGCCAAAAAAGAACAGTAGAATAGATAACTTAACATAACACAACACAACATAGCATAACATAACATAACATAACATAACATAACATAACATAACATAACATAACATAACATAACATAACATAACATGACACGTGTCATGACATGATAACATAACATAACATAACATAACATAACATAACATAACATACATAACATAACCAAACATACATAACATAACATGACATGACATGACATGACATGACATGACATGACATGACATGACATGACGTGACGTGACGTAACGTAACGTAACGTAACGTAACGTAACGTAACGTAGCATAGCATAGCATAGCATAGCATAAAACAAAACAAAACAAAACAAAACAAAACAAAACAAAACAAAACAAAGCAAAACAAAACAAAACAAAACAAAACAAAACATAACATCCATGCACACATACAAGCATACATACGTAGTACGTACATAACATCAGATTACATACATACATGCATATGTACGTACATATGTATATGTACATACATACATGCATATATATGCTTATCATACTTGCATATGTATGTACATATGCATGTATGTACATATGTGCATACATATATACAATATTACATGCATGCATATGCATGTATGTACAGACAAACATAATATACAATATTACACATACATGCATATGTACGTACATATGTACATACATACATGCATATACATGCTTATCATACTTGCGGCGCATGTCATGCGCGGGGTCGCGGCACATGCGGTGCAGAGCGCACGCGCGCGCACGTGATGCGGCGGATCACCAAAAAAAATAAAAATAACAAAATTTGAAAGGACAGGATGGGGTGGCCAGACACACCCCTTGCTTCTAAAAATCAAACTCGGTCTGCAAGAGGGAAAACGTTGGGGCCACGCCATACCCCAAAACGGTGAGCACGTGTGTGCGTGTGGGTGTGCATGTCCTAACTGTATCCAATCTCATTCCGAAGGGCCCCTATAGCGATTTAGCAAGGATTCCTCGTGAAGTAGAGATAAACATTAGACTTACACTTTGCATGCGTGGGCCGAGAATATATAGTCGGGATTCAAATTCAGGGCTGTGCATCAACGGTTATGGGTCACTAATTCTCTGTTTTCTCGTTTTTCTTTTCTTAGGAATACGTGCAGCAGCCCTAAGGGCCTCTACTCACCACCTGCACAAAAGACAAAACATATGGCGACACATTATTCCACGTTCTAGCAGAAGATTCGTTCTAATTCTGCACATTTGGTGAGTACTGCAGCCAAGCCTGAGTGACCATTCTGACCAAGGATGACCAAAAACAGAGTGCCTCGACCCCAAATGCGGGAAGGCCTGATCAAGGACATGCAAGGGCACGCAGCTCAGTCTAAAGGAAAGGGCTCAAATCTGAGAATTGATCGCAAGGGATAGGGAGAGCGAAAAGGACCCAAATAGAGAATGAGCACTATATAGACAGAGACGGAGAGCAAGGAGAAAGCTACCGTCTTCATCCGAATAGAGCACCCGGTCATTATAGCTGTATTTGGTGCAACTTTCAGTCTCGATAGAGTGATAATAACCGGGCGTTCTATTTGGGTGAAGACAGTAGTAATCAGACGAACAAAGAAACAATATAGACAGAAAAAGGTAGAAGAGGCTGGTCCATAAAACATAGCCACGAGTAAACGCCCCAGAGTGCAGTGAGAAAATCAGGCGGTGAGGTAAGGTATAACGTGAGCTGTTTGGATGGAATGTATACCCACACTCCTCCCCGTGCCCACAATCACCTGCACCCAAAAAAAAACATGATTTCTGAGAGTAGATGCTCTAAGAGTTTTTGGCTGACCAACTCATCTCTACCCCCTGGCTCCAATGAAAAGGAATTACCCCCCCTCCATTCTACCCTCCTGATCCCTTCCCCTCAAAGCAAAGAACCCCACCTCCCTCCCCTCCTGATCCCTTCCCCTCAAAGCAAAGAACCCCACCTCCCTCCCCTCCTGATCCCTTCCCCTCAAAGCAAAGAACCCCACCTCCCTCTCTCTCTCTCTCTCTCTCTCTCTCTCTCTCTCTCTCTCTCTCTCTCTCTCTCTCTCNCACACACACACACACACACACACACACACACACACACTCACTCAGGTGTTTCTGGCTTATTGCTCCCATCACATGGGTGGATATTGTGCAAAACTGCAGAACGACGGGAAGGTTGTCTCTAAGCATGTGTGTTACGTGCACACCTGCTTGCTTAAGAAATCACCAAAACGTATGCGCCTCTTTTCCCAGATACTCGATTCTTCCGCCCCCGCCCTCCCCCCCCCCCCCCCCCCCCCCAAACAAAGAAAGTGTTGCGAGGTCCAGACTCACTGTGGCCGGCAACAGTTCTGAACTGGTAAGTCAAACCTGACTGTGCCCCCCTAGCTTAATAACCAGCGTCGCTCAGACGTCCGACCTCCCCCCGTACTTGTGGTAAAAGTGTGGTCTTCAGTGTTTGTATCTTGCGGTTCACGGTCTTGGGGTTGCCCAACAGCGTGCAAACGGAAACCCAACGGAGGAAAGCAGAGCAAAAGTTGTCTGTGACCACATGTGTTATATGTGTGCACCTACGTCGCTCAACCTTCAAGCTTGTGGCAACATCATTCTACCTTCGTCACCTGTACAGAACGTACAGTCATTCTAAATACAGCAATAACGACCATATGTTGTGTTCGGGCGAAGAAGGTAGTTATAGCATAATAAGGTCTATTATGAGTCATGCTGGTTGTTTGATCTTGTGATCTTGTGGCTTTCTTTCTAGCTTATTGCTCCCGGCAGGCTGTCGCTGGATATCATCCATGCTGCACGTAAGTGAGCCCTTTTGTTTCTATCTTCTTATGGCAATCTGGTCGCTGTCTCGCCCAGATCTTACGCTCCGTGAGTAGTGGTAAGCGGTATATATTGCTGCAGGACAAGTGGCTGGCGTACTCACTGGCGTTTGGCGAACGTAGACTGGGACGTGCTTCATCTTCCGCCAGAAATTCAGCAGCGGTTGGGTCAAGCCAAAAGACACACCCATGTAGTGCAGCTTCTCTGGCTTTCTTTCCGCCAAACTAACAAGCAGGGGTGGGAGGCCCGTCCTAGGCTTGACTTGCTCAGTCAACAGTGATACTGCCTGCAGCACAAAAGAAGAAAGAATGAAGAGAGAAAGCAGATTCATGAGCGCAGGAAGTTGCAATTGATTCTTCAAACCAGAGAACAAATAAACAGAAACAGTCGCCCTGAACAGACATGAAAGTTGACAAAACACCCAACAGCATAGCTCAGTGGGTACACACCAATGAACTGTTGAAATACAGACCTGAGTTCGAATCGAGATGACGGTACATGGGTACATGATGAGTAAAACGGTACTAAAACCAAATATTTCTGAGTTGCCTGGGGCAGGTCAGCTCAATGACGATACCTCAAGGTCGTCGAACTCGTCACCCTTTTTTTCGTTTCTTTTTTCTCTCTCCCCACCACGAACATATGTATCCAGAGCGCCCAGAATACAATCACACAGCTACTCATCCAGCCTCCGAATTGATAATGCAACCAGCTGACGTTAGCAGCAATCACCAAAGTACATGCAGATGTCGATCATCCAGACCTCCGCCAAGACCAGGTATGTGCCCTCACATCATCATTGATACATGCTCAGTCGAGCGATGTATATGGAGCCAAGGATCCGCAAAGTGATGAAAAGGGCGCAAATGGACAATGCAACGTCAGCAAAGCATCAACAAGCAATGTACATCCAGATACATACAAAAATAGCACAATGTAGCGCAACGGAAGACTCAAAGATATGACCTGACCTGTCAGATACTGACGCAACACCCCAACATACACCACACATGTGACAGGGAGAGGAGGGACCACATACACAGAGGAAAGGTCCCTCCTTGAGCATGCACATGGGGAGATACCGAGATTGGGGGGAGGCGAGACGAAGATGGAGAGCAGGGAGAAGACCAAGATCGCGATAGCGAAGTCCAAAATAGTCTCCCCGCCGAATGTCCAATCAATGTCTGCCACAAAAATGTCGAATCAGATCCTGGGCCTCATAGCCCGATGTAACCTCTGCCAGTAACCTCTCTCACTCTCTCTCTCTCTCTCTCTGAAAGAAGAAGAAGAAGAAGAAGAAGAAGGTGGAAGGACGAAGAAGAAGAGATGGAGGGCGAGAACAGGAAGACGAAGAAGACGTCGTTCTCCTCGCTGCCTCACCTGCACGTAGCTGCTGCCATGTACTAACGAGCCGGCATGTCCTCTGTGCTGCGGGTCGCTGGCGAGAAGTCCAGCTATGGTGCCCAGGTAAGTCCTCCACTGCTGCAGGTATGGCCTCCGCCTCTCTCCCTAAGTCCACCTCTACCTCTAGTGCAGCGCTGTATATAGCAGCTCCAACAGCGTGTCGCCCACAAAGTGAGCTGCTTGAACTGTGTGTCTGCCCTGGCCTGGCCCAGCTATATGTAGCGCTGGGCCTCACTGGTGTGCCTCTAGTCCTCGGCCTGAAACGGCCTGCCAGGGTCCCTACCGGACGTCCTACCGGACGTCCAGACCCTCCATGCTGATGCAGCAGGGAGTGTCTGCTACCGGACGAACACGAACCTGGCCCGAAAGGGCCTGGCTGCGAAGAAGGCCTAAAACGTGGCCTTTGTCCGAACAGACCGAAAGTCTTTTTGAACGAACTGCAAGTCCGAAACGACGCCTGAACAGACAAAAATAGGACAGCAAATAGATAAGTAAATAAAATTTAATAAATAAATAAATAAATGCTGTCTCAAATCGAACCCTGCAGCCCTAAGGCCGGTCGTGGGCCTCCAGGGCGAATGCCTGAATGGCGTGCGGCCTGGGGGCCCCCAGCAACCGTCGGGCCCCCGAAATGGGGCCACTATGCAGGCTCAGCATGTAACATCATCCTCATCTCTCTCTCTCTCTCTCTCTCTCTCTCTCTCTCTCTCTCTCTCTCTCTCTCTCTCTCTCTCTCTNCTCTCTCTCTCTCTCTCTCTCTCTCTCTCTCTCTCTCTCTCTCTCTCTCTCTCTCGTCTTCTTCACCTACTTCTCCCCTCACACGAAAACCACCACCACCTCCCACTGACTATCTTCCAAGCCCCAACCTCGCTACATAGGCTGGGCTATGGGGCTGCCTGGTAGCAGCACCCTATGTTCCCACGACCGTGCTCGCGTCGCCGTGCACTTGCGCCAGCATGCCGTGCGCGAGCAGAAGCTCCAGCACCGCTAACGGACACTCACAAGCGCCTGAATGCCCTCTGCGTAGCCCGCCTCTTTCCTAAATGAAAAGTGACGGGCTCACTGCCTGGCGCCTGCCTCATGTGACCGAGTTTCGAGTAGCTTCACTCTCGGCCAAAGTGTCTGCACCCAGGCCCGTTCAGACAATGGCCTGGGACCACATTGGTTAGGCATGCCCAACCACCCAGGCACAAACGTGCCGTGTTCCCTGCTTGCACCACGTTGCTGGAAGAGCCTGGAAGGCTCATCAATATTTCAGATTCTCACGAGCACGCCAGATGTAACCAACTGGCGTGTGGCAACTGTCCGGCGCCCACCAGGGCTCATTGTGATTCAGGGCCCACCTTCACTTAGGGCGGTTACGCATCTGTTGCTGGGCCCTTATGCAGGTACGCCGAGGGTTAAGATCCTCGCAGGTGCCGTGTTCCCTGCTTGCACCACGTTGCTGGAAGAGCCTGGAAGGCTCATCAGTATTTCAGATTCTCGCGAGCAAAGCCAGATGTAACCAACTGGCGCGTGGCAACTGTCCGGCGCCCACCAGGGCTCATTGTGATTCAGGGCCCACCTTCACTTAGGGCAGTCATCTGTTGCTGGGCCCTTATGCAGGTATGCCGAGGGTTAAAATCCTCGCAGGTGCAGTCCGTTCCATGAAAATGTCAAAAACGACCTTGCCCATGTGGCTGAATGTACACCCATGTAACTGTTGATAAGCAAACGCTCCAATCGGGATCTCCGAATTACCTGCCGTGAGCATTCAATCACGGTACCTCAAGGTCGCCGACCCATCAGAAAGGTAAGAAAAAAGAAAGAACGAAAGAGGGGTTTTAAGTTTTAACTTTTACGACCAAAAAAAACTATGCACAAGCTACGGACGACAAAAAGCACGCAGGGACTAGCTGTGCTACCCACCAACGACAAAAATGTCGAAAAAGTATGGCCTCTCACTTGCTCATAGCGAGCGCACCCCAAAGTATGGCTGCTACTGCGCCATATCCAGCGACCGAGCTTTCTAGGCGCATTTTCCATGACAAATAGACAATGTCGAAAGAAGACTGCTTATCGGACAGCCCATTTAACAGATCGGTGGAATCTGGTCAGGATGAGTCAACTGACGTAGCGTTACACCGGACTGGAACTTCAATAGAATGTAGCCACGAACAAAATGGTCATGAGGCAGTTTAATAATTTATACATTGTCACAGGAGGGGTGCAAAACTGTCGAAAAGAAAGAAAGGAGCATTGCTCACGAACCTCCTCTGCCTTCTCTGTGATTTTTGCCTTGTCTGTCGGCAAGTCCTCCTTCTCCTCCTCCTCCTCGTCCTCCTCCTGCTCACCCAGATCAGTCATCTGAGCCTCATAGTACCTGGTGGGTGCAAAAGACGAGACAGGTGACAGCGACAGCAGATGCAAAATGTGTCACATGGATGCATACATGCAACGCAGCACATCCTTCAAAACTTTCGGGAAAAGAAAAAGACTATCAAGTTTGACCTGTTTTTAAAATGGTGAATAGAAACCTCCTCAATGTAGTAGTACAACCCACCACATAATGCCCCACAATTTGTAACACAACACATTTATCCATGGGAACGGCATCATGGGTAAAACTACTGCAACATACTTGAATGCAATACACACACACACACACACACACACACACACACACACACACACACACAGTTTATGGGGGCCACTTTTGTTACATCTTCGACGCACACGGGCCCTACCGGACCCGACTTAGGGTCCGAGGGACACATCAGGGCCTAAAGGCCCGACCTTGGGATAGTACAGGCCCTCAGGGCCTGATCTTGGACCAGTACCCAACGGGCAGGCCCAAACGGCATTATCGTTTGGGCCTGGCGGCACTCTTGAGGCTGCCGCCCGCCGGTTGGGGCTGAACCGTCCATCTGGACGGTTCAGGGCATGGCCAGGCCTCAGCATTGAGGCCGGCCTCTGCCCCACCGGTATAAAGTACCGGTACAGCCTCACTATGAGGCATCGACCTACCGGCACTATACCGGTACGGTATGGTCAGCGCCAGAGCGCTGTGTTGATGCGCTAAGTTTAGCGCAGGAGCGAGAAAGGAGCAGCAGCGGCAGCGCAGCAGCAAGCGGAGCAGCAGCAGGGCGACTGAGCCAGCACGGCGGCCATTGCCGCCTGAGGTACCTGGGAGCCGGAGGACCTCTCCTCCCTCCCTCGTCAGCTCTCTCTCTCTCTCTCTCCTCCTCCTCCTCCTTCTTCTTCATCTTCTTCTTCTTCTTCTTCTTCTTCTTCTTCTTCTTCAGACTAGAGACTTATGCTAGTTGGACAGAGATCAGAGTTGGACTTCGGTGATATGAGACTGTGGTACTTACCAGATTGGAGACTTGGAGATCGTTGGGGTTGATACTAGGCGACATCACAGTTCAGACACCGGTTACATTTGGACTCTGTATCCCCGACATTGGTGACCTATGGTCCTCGACATTTTGATCTTGTTGGACGACATTTTGGACTACCATATCGGTGACCTGTCAGATTCTACCTCGGTGACTTTCGGTGCTGTCTACCTCCCCCCACCTCTTCGTCTCTCCTCCCCCATTCATCTTTGTATGTGTGTACGGGGCTGAGCATCTTCTATGTATGGCTCAGACCCCACCATCTCACGATTGAATGTGTGTGGAGTGATGCTATGTGAGTCAGTCTATGTCAGTCAGTCCGTTTATCAGACTTCCGTTGCATCTATACTCATCCTACATTGGTTGATTCTTGGTTCTCCCCATACTCATTGGAGTATGCAACACTTTTGAGCCAATCAATCGAACTCTGACTGTCTATTATCATTCCTTCATCCCACCAACCAACCATCCTTCTCCTCATCCCTCCAACTAACCCTCCATCCATTCATCCAATCAATCAATCAATCTGGAGCAAGCACACCCATATACTGAAAAAAAGTTAAGAAAACAAACAATAAGTTGAAAAAAAGCACCCCACTGTCCCCACAGAATTATGTTTATGTTCACAAATC